TGTAAAAATCGAAAAAATCGCCAAAAATGGGGTTAAAAAACATAATTTTTTAGGAATTTTTTTGGGGTCTCTAAGTTGGGTATAGGATCTTCATACTTGGCTCAAGAAAAGTTCATGTTATGTAGAATTATCACACCAAATTTCATCAAAATCGGTTCTATAGATTTTGCATAATAATTTTGCAATCCAGATTTTGAAAAAAAATTTGGAAATTTTCAAAATTTTGCACAGCAAAAACCAAGGCCCTTAGATACTTGAAAATTTAATCACATATAGAAGGGTTCTCAAGCTTTCAAACGCTTTTTAAAATATTCGAATCCGTCAATTAGGAAAGCTCTGGCGCTTGTTTAAACATTGGTCGAATTTTTGTACTATAATTTGGTATTTTTGTAATATAATGAGTTAATTTCTCATTTGCTTATATTTTAAACAGTAAATAATATTTGAATTATACTTTAATCACAAAAGAAATGATGATTAAATTAATACATACCCAACATAAAGACCCCAAAAAAATTCCCTAAAAAGTAATGTTTTTTTACCCCATGTTTGGCGATTTTTTCGATTTTTACCATATTATTATGGTATCATGATTATTCATGATTCATTCGATTTGTAACTAGTCATATTTTGTAAAATTTAATTACAAACATTTTTTTCCTCTTCCATTTTCGCCTGAAATCAACTCTTGAAAAGATACATAATTAAATAGGAAGAAAAATATGAAATTTTTTTAACATATTGTACCGCCAAATATTAAGCCCACGTTTTTTTTATGCGCATAGAAAAATTTTCATTTCCAGTGATATTTGAAAGCCAAAATGCCAAAAATCTCCATGGATATACGGATATATATCTCTTTGAAATAGATACCGTCTGGACTATTAATATTACATTTAGTAAAGGGTCTTATCAAGTGAGTAGGCTGTAGTAAATTTCATTCAAATCGTTCAGCGCAATATGAAGATCCAACAGAAAAAATATTTTTTTTTTTTTTGGAAAATTGGAACACCCTGTATCTCGAATACCACAGCGCCCAGGAAAAAAGTGTATAGAGCAAACTCTTTTTATTTTTTGGCAACTAATGTATTCCGCACTTTCTGTATTTAAAGTGAAATCATCCTATATACTATTGTTTTCTCAAATTCCATTTTTTTTTAACTACTTTTTCGCAATCTTAATAGCCAGTTAGGATCTACGGCATTCCCTGTCAATTATCATCTTTCTTGGTTGAAAGATAACCATTTTAAAACATAAATTAATTTTACTTATAATTTGTATCGTATACCAATATTAGATAATATTTAAGCAAAAAATTAATATTTTTTTAAAAACACTCGAAATTTTTTCCGGTGCCTCGTCCACACTAAGACATCTGAGAAAATATAGTGACTTTAAAATAACACGTCGCTAAGTCACACAAAAGTAACCTGCTTTTGCAAAATTATTTTCCATTGCGGTTTTTCTCTGTACTACTCTTGTTAGTTTCATATAGTTGGTTTAAAAAGGTAACAACGATAACACTGACGGGAGCGCTGATACAACCGGCCCAGTGGCAGCGTAAGACAATCGTTCAATTGCAGTTAAAAAAAAACACTCACTTAAAGTTACATCCTGTATAGGGGATGTCAAAAAAACTTCTAGATTATGTATATTCTTGACCATATTGAATGAATATAATTAAATAGTTAAACAATTGCCTAATCTTCCCAATAATTTGACCTTTACATTAACAATTTTCCAACGCCTACCGGATTTATTGTCATTTTTATACAAATGGCCTCTGGTGCTTAGTTGCGGCCGACTTTTTCTCTCGTAATGATCTCAATAGCAAAAAATCTGTTATATCAAGTTGATTGCTTCCTTCGAGATATACTTTTCCCTAAATGGAAGCTTGAACTTTTTTCGCGTCATTTTAGACGGCGCATGGTCTTGATAATTCATAGTATTGGATTTAGTTGTTTTAAATAAGACTAATAGATATTTTGTGATTACTTCGTGCTGCCGTATGTGTACACAATTGAACTGGAGTACGCTGTATACCGCAATCGTGTCACTGGTTACATTACTTTTATTGATATTATTAATAAAATACCGCACCGTACGTCGTCTATTAAGTGTCTAAGTAATGGGGCCGCCTACTAGATCACGTCGGGAGCTAAATGGGCCCGCGCCTGCACTGGCAGCCGTCTTCTTTCACTTCCACAATCAGCGTTGGCCGGGTGTACGGCGGACAAACAACTGCCTATCGCGACCATCGAGTTCTTCGCGGCAGTCGCATCTTGCCCTCCTCGCCGAAGCCCTCTTGATGCGTCTGCTGGTGCGTGCGGTGCGCGGTTATTCAGTTGTTTTTGTGATATTTTTTTTGTTGCGAGCCTGTACAGTGCGTTTCATTCTCCGTGATCACGTTAAAGCATTTATTACGTACTAATTATTTTTTTTCAACGTTAACTTTTGAAGATTTAACCCGAGACATTAAATATTGGGGTTTTCTAAAGACATAAAACTTTTTTGAAAACTGATGTGACATCTTCGTCAAAATTCCTCTTGCCAAAAAACCTCATGGGCTCGATATCGGAGCCGCAGTTGATTTTATTGTATCACTGACCTAGAATATGGTCTGAACGTTTAGTAATTACCCGTACGATCCTCTCGGTTAATGACGTTCCCTGGTGTGATTAGTAGACCGTGACTAACATCGCCTTCAGTGTAAATACATGAAAGTCGTCTAATGATAGCACTTAGACCGCGTCATGTCAGCCAAACCGCAGAAAGCTAGTAAAAGTGTTGGAAAACCTGCGATTAAGCGAGTGCCAGACACGCAAAAAAGGCCGTCAGCGCCTCCGAGGCAGCTCCCCACGAAACCCAAAAGGGACATCGTGGTTATCCACAAGAAAACGGATCACTGCTACGAAAATGTGGAGTACAAGAAGAACGGGAATGCGGAGGAGAAGAAATCCAACAAACTGCTAATGGTGATAGACAATTTCGACAAGATCTTGAGCGAGTACAGTGATATAGCTACTAATAAAGATGCAATCCACACCTCTACGCCTAAAAAAGAACCTGTACAACCCAAAAAAGACACCAAGATACCGAAACTGGTCAAAGCTAAGACGTGCAGTATCATAGAATCAAAATGCATCCTGAAGAAGGCGAATTCCCAACCTTTGGAGCAGAAGAATAACTGTTCCAATAGTCCCGATGGTACCAAGCTGCAAAATAAGACCAAAAGCTTGTGTAACATCAGCAGAAGTCTCAGTTGCGACGATGCCTCCACAACCACACCAACTACTGACAAAGCAAAGCCTTTGGAAGAGTCGCCCGCTAAGGTTAAGGAGATGGTGAAGAGATTGAACAGTCTAACCGAGTCTTCTTCAAGTCTGGAAGGGGACAGCCCGAAACCCCCGAGCAGCACCCAGAAGAAGACCATGTCCAAGGCTATGAGTACTCTAGATCTAAGCTCCAGTAAAAAGAACCTGACCTACAGCAAAATCCCGGTGAATACCACGCTTAGAAAGGCTTACCCAAGCATTCCCTGCGATCTACACAGTTTAGATCTAGACAGAGGCAGTGCTCCGGCCAAGAAGCTCAACGGGAAACTAGCGAAGAGCGTACAGAATCTCTGCCCCAAGTTGTCTGTTCATTCTTCGAACAAAAATCTGGATCAGTTAAGCTTGAAACCTTCCCTTCCTAGACCTGGAGCGGCTCTAGGGAGGAGCGTCCAGAACCTTAGTAGTATCGTTAAACTATCTAGAGCTCCTGAAAAGGATAGAACTATAGGAAGGAGTGTCCAGAATCTCTCTAAACTATCTAAAATGTCTGTAGGTTTTCCCAATTCGAATAGTATTAATAAACATCCTGAAAAAGTCAATAAAGTTGCTGCGCCCAACAAAAATGCTGCTAAGGTTGGCCTAAGTGCTCCGAAACGCGATTTTGTAAAAACAGAAGTTAAGCCTCTCTCAAAACCTTCAACTGTAAAAGATTTGTCGAGAAATTTCGACCCTTATAAGGAAAAATCTAAAACTTTAAAGCCAGCCGGGAAAGTTCAAACGAAAGCCAATCATAACCAGTCGAAATTATTGCCGAAAGAAGTCGAAAAGAGCATATCGGTTTCTAAAACCATGGAGAAGTTGTCCAAATTAAAAGCCGAAGACGTAGCTCCTGAAAATACCTTCGTGGTTTTGAAGGCTCCGAAAGAAGAGCTGGTGAAAAGCGTAGTGGAGAAACTGGAAGTGAACAAGGAATGTGATAAAACCGTTTCCAATGCTAGATTAGTGAAAAGCGATACTTTCAAAAAGGTAGCTACCTTTCCAAAAACTAACGAGGTTGTTATATCGAAAGATGCAACCTTCGGCGTTCAGAAAAGGCAATTCGAGCCTAAGTTTACAGAAAAGTCCTTGAAGAACAGCAAAGGCACGTATAGGAAACCTCGTCTGGACACTGTCAAGTTGGATTTGAGGAAAACCCACGAATTTTTAGATGTCTTGAAGGCCTCGGGTGAAACCCTCACCTATTACTTAGACCCTGAAGACTTTGCCGACGTCAAAGTAGAAAAGGTAATGAATTATCTTAAAGAAGATAGTCAGAAGAAACTGGGAGAAACCTCGAAGAAAGACCTTGATTATAGCTCCGACAATTCCGATGATTCGGGCAACATATCCAATGAATTGGAGTTGGATTGTGATGATACCAACTCATCTTCCGCTTCGGTAAAGAGTGTAGACAGTTCAGAGTCTCTGACTACAGTTCTGGACGTCTCGCTGGTCGCCCAAGACAGCGGAATAGACTTGAAGAAGGATTTATCGTTGGATGGTAGCTCGAAGGTACAGACCCAAACAAAACATACAATATTTTTGGGTTTTTGTGGAATATAAAATATTTCTGTAAAATAAAAGTAATGCTTAGCTTTTTAATAGTCACAAAGGCACGAAAAGTACACTGGTAGCCTCTACCGTCCTCTTAACTAGCCAGATTTAAATCACCTGTATCTTTTCCAGATCTTCTTCCGCAATGGCGTCGTCTCCCAGCTGGAAACGCAGCGCGACGAACGTCTCGCCGGCATGGTGGTCCATCTTCAGGCGCACTGTCGCGGCTACCTGGCCAGACGCAAACTGGCCCAGAGGAAGCTGCAGGACCTGGCGGTGCGCTGCATCCAGAGGAACGTCAGGAAGTTCCTCGCCGTCAGGGACTGGCCCTGGTGGCGGCTGCTGGTCAGGGTGACGCCCTTGCTGAACGTCCACAGGACTGAGGAGGAGCTGAGGCTCAAAACGGTGAGTAGATCGATTTTTTTCGTAGTCTAAGTTGTCTTGCTTTTCATTTAAGGGGGCGATTTAGTATGTATATTTTTACCATGTAACAGAGCTTCAGATGAGGACACAAATCATCGAAGAAACTAACATAATTGAATATTATTATATATCAATGTATTCGCAATGGTTCCCGCTAGTGAGTGAAATAAATTTCAATGCTCATGAGAACAGAAGAATAATTTAAATAAATGCCAAAGTACCTCAATTTTAACCGTACTGTTAGTCTGCCAATATATTGGATTTACGACGGAACTAAGTCAGGCACAATAACCAAACTACTTCACTCACTAGAACGGACACTTAGGATCATTTGTATTTAATTTTCAGATTAATATTTATTAACAATTCTATAATTTGTGTCCTCAAGTAAGATGACAACATTTTACACACGACTCCATGTTATATTATATTATATTATATATTTAAACCAGAATTTTAGCGGTTTCTATCTTCTACAAGAATTTCTAAATAAAATTAGTTTGTGTACTCTGTCACAGGTGTCGCTACCCTTGAAAATGAAAGCGAAAACACAGAGTTGGTTTATTGTAAATTGTATTGGCCGAGAAATAGTGAAATTTCTGGCGTTTTTAGGTACTGAAATCTTTAAAAGTAAAACGTGTAGAACAAAAGTAGGGGTAAGCACAAAAATAAAATCCTTGATGTTTTGTTTATTCATGGTTACCGTTTAAATTTACCCAAATAAAATAATAACTAAAAAAAAGCGTTTGCAAAACATGCGTTTGCTATTATCCTAACCCCACATTTTAACAATTATTTTCACGTACTTATAAAAAGTAAACAATTTTATATGTAGGACTAAGCAAGTAAATGTTATAAGAATATTTACATGTGGAATTATATATAAAAAAGATAGTATTTTCGTAGATTTCAGTACCTAAAACCTTAATGGTTTGATCGTTTTTTGCACCTGTTTATTCGTTTTACTGCGGCCGGCGTCTTTGAAAATACTCAGGTGGCATGACATAACATTCCTATTATTTGATAAGCTTTAGATTATTCAGTTATTAAATGTTTGAAATTATTTGTCTTTGCGGAAAACACTATTTACAGAATATGGGACCCATAATGGTCTGATATTATCTTTGATATATAAATATGGGTAATATTTTAAAAGTAGGTAGGTACCTAAGTAATAAGATTTTGTAAAGCTTAAGTAGTACGAAAATATAACGCATAAAAAACCAATAATATGTACTAATTTTTCTTTATTAAGAATAAAGATTAAATTTTACGTACAGGGTGTCCCACATAAAATCGTTATTTATGTTGTAGCCTTGGTAGTTTCAAAATAAATTTACAGCTTAAAAATTGGTCTGGCTCAGGTAGATTTCTGTTTCAATCTACAAATCAGTAGCTACTTACCGATAAGAAGGAAACCACTAGTCTAGTCGAGAAGTGAGTTTTCTGCGAAAAATAGTTATTGTAATCCTAAAAATATGGTTGTTAGTACATTGGATTCGGAATTAAATTCAGAGAAAGAAGTATTTTTTAATTTATCCGCAATTAAAAATAGCAATTGTTATAAACAAAAAACGAAGAGAAAAAAGGGAGTCTCCGTTTTTTAACTATAACTAAAAAAATATTGAAGATAGCTGAAATTTCAAAAAAGATCCTGAAAGAGGAGAAAATTTCAGCAAAATAAGTCAGGAATTGTAGCTCCATTATTTATAATTTTAATTTGACGTTGAAAATATAGCTCCGCGCGGCGGCGGCGGTTTCCGCGTCGTCGCGTCGCCGCCAAGCAAAGTGTGCAACACAAAATAATTTTTTTATAGTATTCAATATTAATTTAAAAATCTAAATAAATTATAGTGTCATCTAGACACTTGAAGGAACACAGCCCAGTTGGAAAATAATTTTTAACTTGACTTATGTTAAAGTTATTCAATTGTTAATGAACTAATTTTTCGTGGTCCTAATCTTTCATAAAACTTGTTGTAAAACTTTAAATAATGTATCTAAAATTTTTTTTCTTTCTGGGAGGTCTTTTTATATACATAATAAACAAGATTCCGTTGTAAAAGTTTATAAAAGTTTTTTCATTTGTTTATAATGATTTTTTAAAGTTAACAAAAAATGAAAAATCCGGGAAATGTTATAAATTTTTTTTTTACCAAATGTTTGATTTTAGTTGTTTTTCTATTAATATATTGCGTTTATTAGCTTAGCTAAAAACTTTTTAACGTTATTTGTTTATAAATTTGTTATAAACAAATGGACAAGTTTAATATTTTTGAAACATTTTTTTTGCCATTTTATTGTCTTGGTAATCTGTTTTTTAAAAACAAAAATTTTTCTTAAATAAATTTTTTAATTGTTTATAATCGTAATTTCCCTGGGAACACGATGGTGCAATTATTTTTTTGCTACTTGCCGTAGTTTACGAGATATTTGCGAAAAACCTTATTTTTTACGGGTTTTTTGACCTTTTGACCCCTTGCCTGATCACCTAGGTCAAAAATGTTTGCGGATTCGGATTCCTGAGGGTCGAAAACATATTTGCGCCCAGGTTTGATCGACAGAGGAAAAAATGGAGGTTCAGCCTTCATTTCAATGGACTAAATACATACAGTAATATTATATATATATTTTATGCCTATACATATTATTCTCCAAACGCAATTAGTAGCAAGATTCTATATATTTTAGTAATTAAGCAGTGTTTTTAAGTTAAAACGACTCGTCAAAGTAAAAAAATATTTCAGGTTAGGTATATATTTTTTTTACTGAAAATAGCAGTTAATTTACATTATCGGATTGTTAATGTGAAAATATAAACATTAGACTGTTGACTATTCCATGTTATACGTGTTTTAACGTCACTTTTGAAGAAGAAACTACATGTAATTTTAAAAACCGTATTTCTGTTTTTATAATGAAGGAATAGTAATTATAAGATTGTTTAAGCTTATTAACTAAAAATTATTGCCTACTCAATAAAAAAATATTATTGTCCTCGATAATCTATTACTGATTAATAAAATATTTACTCTCTTTCCTTATAAGATTGTATGTACACAAATTGGAGCCGTTCCTGAAAAATCGGACGAATATCCGGTGCAGCGGAATTATTAGACTTGAAGCGTTGGCCGCTAGAACAGCACCTGCCGGGGTCCCGTTTCGTGACTCACGCTGGGCGATATTTTTTGTACAAAATCCCGTCCTTAAAACTATTTATTCGTAGAAATTGAATTTGCGGATTTTGTTTTTAATTTGAGAATGATAAGCAATGTATCTGGTGAAATCGTTAGTATTTCACTAGTGATTTGTGTAGATGCAACATATGTATAACGGCGCTTCCTGTGTCAAGGCAATTTGGGAAACCGATTAGAGAAAATACCTTTCTCCAACCACGTCTTCAAACTGCATAAATGCTTTAGTTTCATTATGTCGGACGAAATTACCATAAGCTGTTAAAAAAACATTAATAATCGATCTGTTTGGACAGGTTTAATAGCAGGGAATTTAAAATTAGGAATTATTTAAGACATTTAGTTGCGGGAAATACTTCTAAATTTTTTGTTTTTAGAGAGTATCGCTGATACAGAAACCTATTTTTTCAATTTTAGCGAAGAAACGTTAGAAAGATACCCCACACTGAGGACCACTTTCGGAGAACATCCGTATAAAAATACCTTATTTAAATTGTCGCCTTGTCTGAGGAACATCTCTGTTCTCTCGTATGCATCTAATATTTATTGAATCAAAAATGCACTCCTGCAGAGAACGGGGTCATCGTCTTCCGACGGTATTTTTCATTTGAATAGCACGCCATTGTGTCTGTATCACACACGTGCATCTCCAAGCATTTTTTCCATCTTCCTTGGTACAGTTCGATTCAAAATAGTGTGGCCTGCTTCTAATAAAAATTGCCTATAGTCATAATTTTTCTATATCGTGCCAACTATTTTTTCAAAAAATAATTTCAGCTAGCAAAAAAAATAGAAATGCGAAAAATTTTTGATTTCATGAAAGCTAGTTGATACAGCTCTTGATGACGTCAGCTAAGAGTCAAAGTAGAATTTTTCTAATGCAAGTCGTATATGGAGCTTGAGTCACATGAATTATTTCTTTCAGTAATAATACTGCCCAAATGATCTCATTTACAGGACACAAAATATTGCAACTAATAAAAACTACGTATAAGCAAAGAAAAATAAGTAAAAATAGAAGAAAATTAACATACGAATTCCCCGTAAATCTACAAACACAAAATTTACTTGTTAAAATATTGTAATTTAGTTATTTATTTCTGGGTCTAGTTATAGTGACTTAATTTTATAGGCTGAATATTTTTAAAACTTTCCGAGTCAATTCGATTTGCAAATACATCACTGAAGTAGTTAATGTAAAGCGGAAAGGAAAAGGGTCCAAGTATGGGATCTTGGGGCACACCTGACGTAACAATACAGTGTAGGAAAGTACCGATGGTCTATCAGAAGTTACGTGAGAGCGATAAAGTAAGCCATAGAAATCCATGTGATAGACAAGGATGGCTATAATGAAGGCGTCTAATAGTCAACGCCCATTTCGCCCTTCCACAAATAAGAAGGGATCTTATTTGTAGAAGGGCGAAACGGGCGGTGACTAAGAGAAGCCTTCATTATAGCCATCCTTCTCTATCGCATGGATTTCAATGGCTTACTTTATCGCTCTCACGTAACTTCAGATAGACCATCGGTACTTTCCTACCCTGTATAATGAATCGACTCAAAACCGTTGTGACAATCTTAAAATATTTAGGGAATATTTAAAATCAGCATAAAATAGATATTTTTCTTTTCTTTTTAACGAAAATACTGAACGTGTATACAGGGTGTTAGAAGTTCGATTGCCTTAATTTTAACAGACGATAGAATACATTAAAATAAACAATAAACCGAGAAAAAAATTATCAAAATCTCCAACTTGATGTACAAAAGTTTGATTAATTAAGGAAT